TGCTGCCGCTTTGACTTTCCCTCCCGAAGACGGACAAAAAATGCTTGCCATCAAGTTTCAAATTAAATACATATTTTTATGTACGAATAACAAATTTCTGAGCCTGAATTTTCCGCTCTCCTAGCTCTTACTTCTTTCTGACTCCCACACACTCGCTTGCTCGCACTCTTTTCTTTCGGTTTGAGTGGCGCAACAACCACCAATCCAATTCAATCCAATTCAACACAAATCAACTTAAATGAAAGGATCAATTTTTTGTGTGTGTGTGTGTGTGTGTGCGCGCTTCTTTCTTTTCTGTCTTTGTTTCGACTTTCAATCTTTCTGCGTGTCTGCGGATTCTTCGTGCTGATATTTTCTACACTTTTCTTCTCATTTCGATTTTGTTTTTGTTTTGCGCTTGTGATGAGGTTGATTCTTCTTCTTTTTGTCGTTGTTGCCGTCGTTGCCGTCGTCATTGTCGGTGGTGCCACGAATTCGTTCTGATATGATTTCAGGACGACGAATTTCAGATGTTCATAAGTCACTATGCTCTACAGAAATGTGTACATGTGTTTTATTTTTCGATCACATCACATCCAGAGGAGGAGAGAGAGAGTGAGAGAGGGTGAGAGCACGAACAAATGAGTTTTGTGACTTTGTAACACGCACTGAACTGCATTGACGCGACATCCAAATCGGTTTTGACAACAAATGCTAAATCAAATCGTTTAAATGCATGGCAAAGGCGAGATAGCGACAGAGACAGCGTTTGTGCGCGTTGTGTGATTTTCAATACACGACAACGATATTTTAATTTGTTTATATGTATTTATATTTGATGCGCGCACATAGCACACATATCCATTTGATGAGTGTGACATCGACATCGGCGACAATTTGTTTTGTCATTGGATCATGACCTTATTAGTGCGTGCATGCGTGCGTGAGAGTAAAACAGAGAAGCGGCATGTGGTCACACGGGGTGGGAGAAGAGTGGTGAGAAAACCTTAATTTATGTTAAAGGATTTTCCAAAATCTTACACCCTTTGCAACTGATGGCGGCTGATGCCACACCGAGTCACCAAAATTAACCATTTAAAAAAAAACGGGCGCACACACAAACACACACACCCGACTTTTTCAATTCAATTCGTGTGCTGAAAACGCTGAACTTTATTTGTTGCCTGCAGACACACCACTCCGTCCGTATCCATGCATCGCATCGAATCATTTCGATTCGTAATAAAGTAGCACCTTTATTGAAAATGCGCGTCATTGTTACTTTAATAAAGTGATGGACTATTATCATTTCAGTTTATCTAGTCTAGACCATCGAGATGGTAGGAAAGAATATAAAGGAGAGAAAAAACCAGCTGTTGTAAACGTAAAAATCCAACAATCGAGAGTGAAAGTGGTGAAAACCGCTTAACAGCAAAAGCTCTTTCTTCATGCTTTTCTTTTCATATTGGCGTTTTTTTCTCTCATTCGGAGGGAAAAATCATCCACAAAAAAAGGTCATGGAATTGAGTAAAATATGCGTCTGATATAAGTCTCAGAAGAAGAGAAAAAATCCCCATCCATATTAAAAGTTGATGATAATCGCAAAATCTGTTTGTTGAAGTATTAAAAACATCGGTTTTACTTTAATGTTCGAGGGAACGAATGAAATTTTTGTTTGAAATATTCCATTTTTTTTTCAACGCTACTGAAATACGTTACAGTTTAAAAATTAAAATCAAGCGGTTTTAGTTGGTATGAGGTTTGTGACAGACAAAAACGTCGGCAACAATAGCCGAAAAGGATTCCAAACGGGATATCCAACAGAAGAGACTAGCAAATTGAAAATGAAGCACACAGAGAGGAGAAAATAACAACGCAATAAGCATGGATAATGTATATTGTTGTTATTCGTTATCGTAAAATAGGAGAATCATTTTCCTAATAAACATCATTGGTATTATTACACGCGCAAAAGGTTTCAATTCGCTATTTCCATTTTTGATTTGTGCTGATGTGAGACTCACGGTATGTGTACTCACTGTGTGTGTGTGGCTCACCCAGAGAGCAAATTTCTGCTACAATTTTTAGCTCCATATATTAATGTCGATGATAATTTTTGCGTACTGCGTGCGTTTTTTACACGCTCTCTGTTCAACCTTAATCGAGAAATATGGGTTCGTTATTATACGAGCGGAAAAGAATGGGGGGGAAAAAATTATGAAAGAATTTTAAAGCACATCATTTCTTTTCTCGTTCGCATCAATTGTATGATGTGGTCGTTTTTTTTTCTTTTCTTTTTCATGTTGTCGACAAACATCGTGCAAATAGCCAGAGAAAATGAAAAGAAATTTTAAGTAATTCAGCAGTTTTCATTTGGGAATATTTCGAGGCCAATCCGATACATACAACATATATTGGCTATTATACATACTGAAATTAAAAGCAAATGTGTTTCTAACTCTGTCTCTCCTCATCTCACTCTTTCTCTCTCGTTCTCGACGATATTTCGCGAATATTTCGCCCGTGAAATCTAAATAAACAGAGTGCTGCTGAGAGAGAAGCGGGAGAGAGAGAGAGAGAGAGAGAGAGAGAGATGGGCAAAGCAACGAAAGAAAATTACGAGACAAGAGAATAACGAAAACGAACAAAACAATGAACGAATAGCTATTGCTAGAATTTAATGGATTTCCGCTACTACTCAGCTCCTGTTATTCCGATAAATCTCATCGTCGATGAATCTTTGGTATTTTTATCGTTCATTTGTGGAACGAACGATGGAATAGAAAAAGACGGAAAACACACACTGATTTTACTTGATTTTGCATTCCATACGAATTCTTTGCGAAATGTGTTTATCTTTGTATTATTTAAAAGCGGACAAATTTCAAATTCCCTTTTTTGTTTATTGCAATATTGAATGTACACAAAGAACTCGTTCTATAATTTTTTTTCCGTGAAAATGCTTGACGAACCAACGAAAGCTGCACAGCGAAAAAGATGAAATATTAATTGCAAACAAAAAGTCCAAAGACAAGACGCACCGAGGAGGGAGACAGTGACATACCGATGGAAATGCTTATATTTATTAAAATGAGGATAGAAAAGTAAGCAAGCGTCCAATCCATTACATTTATTGTTGTGCGTTTGCCGACTAGATGGTTTCATTTTCCAGCGTTCCAGCGTTCCAGCGCGTATATGATGGTGTATATGTGTGTCGCCGTTGGCTTTTCGGATAAAATCATATCGAATTCTTTTTCGGCTCCGGCATACACATTGCCGTCAACCACTGTCTCTGCAACCAAAAAAAAAATCATCACTGAAAAATGATGGCTGCCACTGTTGCCGTTGATTTTGGTGTACTGTGTCAACATTTTTACTTATCTCTCAACCGTTCTCACTCTTCCTTTTGCACTTTCACTCTCTGAATCACGTGAGTTCTTCTCCACTATCTCCCTCGATGCCTTTTCATGTTTCGGTAAACAAGAATGTGATCTTCGAGAGTTAAGCCAAATACCAAACAGAAGGCGAGCACCAAACTTGATGACAAAAACAACACCGACAACATTTTAATACAACGAAAGAAAGATTAACAATGTGAAACGAATTAAAACCGCACATGCCGTTCACATAAAGCCATCCACGAAGTGAACAATGGGGATGAGGTGGGCAAGAGTGTAAAAAACGTAGGCAATATTGGAGTAAGAAACAACACGAAGCCAGTCAGCCAGTCAGCCAGTCAGCAAGCAGAAGAACAGCTGAGTAGCTGGCCGCTTCATTCAGAATGCAGCTGCAAGACCAATGCTCAGCGGGCTGTATACGTATCGTATGGCCTAGAGCGATCCAGACCGAAACAATGACGACAACAAATGAAATGGAAATCTCAAAAGTGATTCGGAAACAGACACCATGAAGAAAAAGAATGAAAACAAAAACTGAATAGGAAAATTAGAGAGAATAATTGAGGCAATGCATCACATGGTGTCTTAAATCCAAATTTCCATTCTTGAATACCACCATCGCCGCTGCCGCCGCTGCCGCCGCCACGCACGATGAAATGAAAACAGTTCACGTAATTTTTTTTTCCCCGTCTTCTTGTTTCCATCTTTTTTGGACAAAAGAAATAGGAACACGACATAATTAGATAATCGCACACGCATCGTTAGCACAAGGATCGTTGAGTTTCGGGTTAACAAAAACATGACATCTGTTTCGCTCTCGCTCTCTCTCTCTCTCTCTCTCTCTCTCTCTCTCTCTCTCTCTCTCTCTCAATGAGACTCGCTTTCTGTTATTCGCTATTTTCAGAGCGAACTTCCTGAATACGAACTTTACAATTATATTGCATTGCGCAAAAATGTTATCGGTGTCGTTGTTGTGACATGAACAGATTGTAATTTTGATTTAATTTCTCACGTGCACTGATTTTTCGTCACTAGACTAAATCCTTTTTTCGTTGTGCGTAAAATGCAGAATACACCGTCGACATGGTTGACACGGAAAATGGCAACGGAGGTTGAGAAAAGAAAAAAGAACGAGGAAAAATATGTTTCGCCCACCTTTTACAAATAACATTGCGAATACTGATAACTTATTCATGATGCGTAATATGAATCATTACGAAACCAATTTAAATAATGAAACGAAACACGAATATCATTTTCGATCTGCTCATTAAATCGGTCGGTTGAAAGATTTGAAGCGAACTCAATTCGCGGAATTTCGAATTACAATCAGTTTATTTTTTTTCCTACTTAGTCGAATTCAACACGAATAATACATGACTTTTATCCATCTGCTTTTGTTGATCTTTTTCTCGACAGAATGGAGACTTATTCAAATTCCTTCTTTTTCGTTTTTTTTTTCTTTTCATTTAATACCAAAATTCACTGCAAAAATGTTCATCGTTTCATATTCCATCAAAACACTCAAAATTCAAATATGTTTTTCTCTCTCAGGGTTTGATCATCAAAGGAAAAACGGAAACCAGATATTTCCACTTGAGAGTAATTGTGTTTTGGATTTACCTTTATTGCTTCGAGTGGGCGAATCAAACGGATTTAAGTTGATATTGCACAATTCCTCGTGTGTGTGCTCCTTTTTCCGTTGGAAATAGAGATTTTCCGTGATGGCTCAATATCGGTGATGATGATACTACAGGGTGATCGGTGATGATGGCAGCTGGTGCTGATGCTATCGTTGTCCGGTTTATTGATAACGTACACTAACCGCAGAAAAGAAATAGGCAAAAAAAACAATCTTCACTCACACTGTAGGTGACCGAGAAATAAACACGCGTTTAATTTGTTGATTTTAACTGATAAATTTTCGACGACGAAAAAGAATGAACACACTCAATTAACAAACGATTTTCGCAATGTTCACTTGGATGCTGGTTCGATGTGAACGCAATGGTGACCGTTTCCGTTATTCTTTTTGCTTTCACACGCTGAATGTGTGTTTGTCTTTCAATTCGATTATTGTCTAGCTATAGCCAAACTTTAAAGTTGATGGCATCAGCATTCAGTTCGGAACACTGACGGACGCTTTTGGTATGCAATTTTTCGTGTTTGAAAGTGATGAAAACTTCGTGTTTCGGTTATGCGATTGGTTGATTCGGTGTGTGTGTGTGTGTGTGTGTATTCTCACTTGTTTGGCTTTCTTTCTCTCTGTTCCGCACAACAATTTGTGATATTTGCTCTCAGTGATTTGAAACTTTTTTCTTCTATTTGTTGGTTGGTTGGTTAGCCTTGGCTTTTTTTCTCTTTTCTTGACGATCAAGAAATTTTAACGAACTTTTCTGCTAAAATCACTTTTCACACACTTCGATGCACTTGGTGCCAAACCGATCGAAAATTGTACGCCACCACAAAAAACGAGAGATAAAATAAACAACAATGAAGCTTTCGAGTTCGAATATTTCACGGGTTTATCACTTAAAGACGGTCCGGATTCATTAAACGACAATTTAAATTTATCTTCTTTTTTTAAAGTATGAGTCTGTGTTTTTTTCGGTTGCTCCTGTTGGATTCTGTAGAAATTGTTGAGTTTAGTTAAAAAAAAGAAGTGAAATTTGCAATAGGAATTAGGCTATATTAAGTGTGAACGGTTCATGAGCTTAAATAGCGAGTCCTTTTTTAATTGGAGCACAAATGAAAACAAACAGAAATGTATTTGACTTATGAATAACGGCATTTAAAATTCAAAATAAGAGAAGATAAAAAACACACACACACAACAACAACAACAACAATAACGATTCGCTTCTGACTCTCCGAGTGTTGTGTCGATCTCCTTGGTGCGTTCCGAAGTTCCTTTCACCTTTTTGGTTGGCGATGTGCTTATTCTCTATTTCACAAACGCTATTTGGCTTGCTTTCCTTTTTCAGCTACTGTCTGTTTCTTGCTTTGTCGTTTTGTTGCCAAGCTCTCTTTTCTATAGATTTTTTCAATTGGTTTTTCTTTTTCTTTTACCTTAAAAAATGTGTGTTGTTTATTGACGTTTTTGTGTCGAAGAAGAACTCGCACTAACTGAACTTTGGTGGTTGTCGCTTGAAATGATTCCGAAAATTTCGATGATAAATTTCAGTGTACGTCAATATCGTATGAATGCTCCCGGTATACTAAAGCAACGGTTGTTTGTTGTGCGATGCGATTCGATTCGAAATGAACACACAGATGTGAAAAACCGACACTTTTCAAGCACAAGAACGATGGAGCGCGATACGCGATGATTGTGAGCTATATGTGCAAGCGTGTGTACACTGTACAGATACACAGAGAGCTTGCTATGCTCACAGAATTGCCGCCGTCGCCACATACAAACCGAACGTGAACGCGCTCAGTTCGATTCGAACTTAGACACACCATACACACAGTGCAATGGAATAGAGTGTCTCCTCAGTAGTATAGCTCTTGCCGACGGAAAAAGACCGATTTTCCATCTTTCGCAATATATATATATATATGTACATCTACAGCGAGAGGCAGACATGTAAATGTGACACACAGTTATTTTGATCTAGCATCTATCCTTCGTGAACGTAGTGTCCGATTCGACAACTCGCACAGTTCACATTCACTCTCTCAGCCGCTCGCTCGATCGCTCGCTGTGTGCGTTTATATTTACTGTTAACTCATCTATGGCAGAGCGTGAGCAAAATAACCGTTGTATATGCTTCCACAAATGTGTATGATAAAGTAAGCCGTTTGCCCTCTCTCGCTCTCGACTTTCTCATGCGAATGCTTGGAACGTTCATTGGTTGCGATTGAGCAAAATATTCAATGTGTGTAAGAATAGAGAAATTATCCACTGCGAATCAAGCGATTTTCCCGATTTTGAATTATATTATTTGTTTTTCCCGATCTGTGAATTCAAATGAAAAGCCTTGAGCCATATTTTTGCTATTCCGTTGAACCTGCACTAGGATTCCAGTGAACTGAATTTAGTATTGCCACGCACCGAAGCGATGTTGATGAATTTCCAAAAAAGAAAATGAATCGATCGGTTTTTCTCATATCATTATATATTTTTAAGTTGGCCGTATGGTTGGTGGGGCACATCTGACCAACCGTACGAAGCTAATTGTTTATTTTTGGTGTGCGATAAAAAATATTCCGTTATCGATTTACACTGAAAATTTATAGCATTCGTCTATCAACAGATAGTTCAATTGATTTTATCACCCGTTGATTATGCCCACCCAGCCTAACCAAAAAGAAAAAAAATCAATCGCTTTGAAGTTTTCGAAATAGACGAAATTGACTAGCAGTGATAATTGTCAAAAACCGGAAAATTCCAGCCCATACAGAGCAGCATCGTCTACTTCATTTGCTTCGAGCTATTTTCATTTGATTTTATTCGCAGTTGGTCCCACAATTTCAACAGGATACTACATCGAAATTCATTAATTGAAGGTAAAAAAAACAGCAGCAACAACAACAACAACTGAGCGTGCCCGCACTTGAATCCGTTGAATTGCCACCGTAAGCGCCTTAAAATAACCTTCAAAAATAATATATAATAAATGTCTCAATGATGTGATGTGTAAAATGAACGAAACACAGAACGAAGAAGAATCAACGCAACGATATTGAGCATCCCATATTGAAATGGCAACCGGGCATAGCGGCAAGTGAATTTAGTCGGTGTCGATATGATTGCGTTAAATTTGTGCACCCACTGGAAAATGCTGTCGCTTGGCTTAATTCACCATCGACTTGACATCGAAAATAAACAGAGACACAGCAAGACAAGGATCTCGCATATTGTGTGTGTGTGTGTGTGTGTTGTCATGTTCGATGTGTGTATGTGTTGTATGCAGCCAGGCAGTTAGCATCGATTCCGACAATAGCCGAAATTGTTCGCTGGAAATGTGTCGATTCTCATATTGGATATCAAGTTTCTCTCTCTCTCTCTCGCTCCCTCTCTCTGTTCCTCTTTTTCTCTTACTCTCCAATGCCAACTACAAAACAACCGACTACAGCAACAGGTAGCTCGCACATACCCCCGTATCGCATCAATGCAAGCAACATATTCAGCAGCTGCTAGATGTGATTTACACTCGAACCACATTCACAACTCCTGTCTCTCTTTGTAACGCAAGAATAATTTATCAATTGTGACTCTTACCCAGCTTAGCCCATCTCATCGCATCGTATAACAAATATTTTTGCACAGATGCTCGTACGTGTTTGTTTCTTTTGTAAAATCCGTTTTGTTAGCCGTGCTCTCTCTCCCAAATTTATAGGCTGAAAGGTGATTTTGTGCTCGAGCGCACGTCACTCACACATTGCAGGGGAAACGGATTTTCCTCATTGATGAGCACTCACATTGCTCATGCCATTCCTTGATTGACTACCTTTCCATGTTTTTGGAATATGTTCTGCCCATTTACAACTACTTTCTGCTTTTTAAATGTTAAAATTATATTTTTTTTCATTTAATTACCTCTGATTTTTCTGTTGAATTTCTAAATGCGACAAGATTTGTATAACTTTTAACCACACAGTGCAACAATTGACGACCATTATTTTCACAATTTTTTTTTTAAATTCTTTAATTGGTGCTGATGAAAATTCATTGAATTGGAAACTATGCAACAAAAGACAAAATTTTCCATACTTTCTTGAACACTTCGCTTTATTCCGAGAAAAAAAACTTTAACGAAATCATAAGATCTTTCTTGTTATATAATAATGATGATGTTTTGGAACAATTCGAAATGAAGACAACGTAAAATAGCAAATTATGTTGGCATTTTGGCTTGATTTTTAGTATTTCTTTTTTGTTTATTTGTTTGGAAAACATTGAACAATGTAAATGCTTTTGAAAGAATAAAAAAAAAAATGCGAAAAAGACTCATTCTCTGTCAATGAATGCGTATGATTTCTATTAATTAGAATAAATATGTTTTGTTTTCGATATAATTTGTATAATTTCAATCAATCGTATGGAAATCGATCAACTTAAAATTAAAGATGAAACAAGCGAGAGAGAAAAAAAATGAGGGAATTTCAATTCATCTTTCGTGTTAAATTTTCTTTTTTCAATTAAATGGTAATTTAAAAACAAAAACATCAAATAATATGTTTGAAACGAAAATCCATTGCTTTTCTTTGTTTTTTTTTCTACATGTTAACTTATTTGCTAATTGCATCGGCGTTAAAATGAATCAATAAAACTGACTTCAAAAAAGCATTTTTCCACTTTGATTGTGTTTTTCATGTGAATTTATCAATGAAACGGATATTACATGAATTGATCGATTCAAAGCGATGATCAATGAGTCGGTTTTGTTCAGTTAAAAGAAGATAAAACAAATTGAAGAGAAAAAAAATGGGTTGACGAAAAGAAAATTTATCTCCAGAATAAAAAAAACTTGTCCTTGTTTTATCCGGATTTTCGGTGTGTGTGTATATATGTGTGTGTGTGTGTTGCCCATGATCAATTGGCTAGCATTGACCACAAGACAGGCGAATTTTAGCTCAATCTACATTCATCTTACATCTAGTTACAAATGATAATGACTATTGTGTTTGTATGTGTGTTGATTGTGTTTCTGGTTTTTTTATTCTGCATTCAGTTGAGTGTTGGTGTATAGGTTCTCTTCTCTGCATTTAAATAATGATATCATTTCGTGTGTGTGTATGTGTAAGTGAATATTTGATGTTGAGCTACCGCTCAATTTTGATCACGTTCCATTCGGGGCCGCTTTGTTCGGGCATTTTCTCCAGTATTTTCATTGCTATGCTCTCGCTTTTTCACCGGGGCCTGCAAAAATAACGACGAAAGAACATCTTAATATTGAATAAAATCGAAATAAAAAACATCAAAAATACTATGAGTAGACAAATAAATGAAAATAATTCATTGATGGTAAATGATAATAGAATTCCATCCGCACGCAGACACCTCTTCACTTTATGCCAACTTAAGACGCAATTGCATGTCAATGAGTTTTCTCTCACCTTTTTATCCCATTGTTGGTGTAAATATCTCAGCAAAATATTTTTCTTCTCTGTTACAATTACTGCAAAATATTGAGAAAAAAAACCGAATCAAATACGGCTTATCGACATGTGAAATTGTGTTATCAGTTTGAATTGTTCCCGGTTCGATCACATCTCATGTGTGTTGTTCTTCCGGCAATTGCATTTAGCATGTACACGTGATGGGATATAGTCACACTTACTTTGTTCTGATGGAATATCTACTGTTGGTAAATACACTGAGGGCCGACGTGATGACGTTCGAATACCATTTTCTGTATTGAAAAGTGCAAAATTTTTCTCATTGTGACTGGGAAGATTCTTCAGAAATTCGTTGATCGACTGTAAACGAACGCAAATGGAGAACTTTAGACAATTTCATTCATATTTTATGCTTATTATTTTCAATAAATTTTATTAAATTGGCTGGACATGTGGCAGCGTTTAAGTGAACGTTTCGATTTTATGATCACAATTTTCAATGTCAATCGATTGTCGATGAACCAAAAAAAAGCACATATTTCCAGCCTTTCTTTTTATTTCGCATTTACCCCAGTTGTTGTGTGTGCGTGTTTTTTTTATTGGTTCGGATTTCAAAGCACAATCCCACTCACCATTTTGAATGTATGTTTGCTATGATTCCGTGATATTGTATTGGTTCTTTTTTGTCACAATTCCGTCAATTTCGTTCGTTTTTTTTTGTTTTCTGATTGTTCTCTCTTCACTCTCTCTGGTCGACTTTAGTCACTGTGAAAAATAATCTTTTTTTTTATAGAAAATTCATCATACACAATATGATGACATCAAGTGTCAAGAGACTTGTGTGGAATGAAAACAAACGTGACAATCGCAAAGTGTTCACAAGGTACGCCAGATGGCGTTGGTAGAATACCAAAAATGTTGGCATGAAGATTACTTCAAAAGTTTTTTTTTTATTATTTTGAAGAGTTTTGTTTCCTTTTCAAATAGTTCCGATTGTAGTGCGGATTACAGTAAATAGTTCGCAAAGATGTAATTGTAGAAAAATGTCCATAAATCTAAATTCCGATGGTTGTTTTTGTAAATTCTTCCTCAAAACCTGTGTTCGATGGAAAAAACCCCTCAAAGTCGAGCTCATCGAAAGCTTTAACACGTTTTTGACCGTAAAACTTCTCGACTTTGCTGGAAACTTGCATCAACATTCAAACATCTTTATTCGCTATGAACGTTTGAAAGTGGAATAATTTTGAATGTCTGATGAGTAAAGTCAGCATTTGACTCAATTAAAAGTAAAATTTCGTTAGAAAACAATCAAATGCGCTCTATAAATCTGGCAGTTCGATGCAAAGTCAGATTTTATGACTAATGTCGCGATACTCTTTTTGCACCTCTATCGCAATAGCGCGATCAAGCAAAGCTTATCAGAAAGAAAATTCCAGCTGCTATTGTTCAAACACGTAAAATCATCTGATAAAAGAACCGAGCCGCTTGATATTCACCAATGTAAACAAAAGTTGGCATAATTGCAGCAACCGATTATTATAGGTCTCAGTTACCATTTTTGACACTGACGTGGATCGTTTGACTGAAATAAAAGTTGAATCTTATGCAATCGCAATATAGTATTGCGGCTGGCTTTAATATATTCGTCCCTGTACTTTTGCCAGGCACCATCACGTGCGACGCCGTATTTCCACCTGAATAGTGGTTGCATTTCCTGGGTGTGCTTTCGACGGCTTTCGATACATATGAACCAAATAAGAAAATTGGCGTGCTTGATTTACAAAGTAGGCCAATGACCTTGATATGCGTTACCACGTTTCGTTGAACGAAAGGCTGACGTGTTCATTACCATCCACAAGTAGCAACAATGTGTGACAATTTGCCGCAAACCCATTAAATAATCAAAGCATTTATTATTGAAATTTCATAGTTTTCGGCACACTTTACACAATTTCGCCACTATTGTTTTTCTCAAATTTTGTGTGTGTGTTCTTTTGAGATATCAAAGGAAATTCGTCTTTATAAATAATTGATTGTATTTGTTATTTTCATTTATTTGCTAGTTCTTTTCATAACCTTTTCTTCTTTCTTCTTAAATACATTTTCTTTTTGTTTTGTTTTTTATGTTAATAACCTGATTTAGCAGTTCTGGATGCGTTGGCTGGTGTCTCATTTTTCTTTTTTTGGTTGAATGTTTTTTTTTCTCTCTATTGTTTTGTTCAAATTAATTTGATGGAAATGATTTAGAGGGGTTTGGCCCTTTTCGGCTGAACAACACCAAGAAATGTCTATTATAAATATCAATCTTGTGTATAAAAAAAATTGCTCTACAACTCTGTCTTCGCTGTTTCTTTGTAATATTTTGGTTTCAATTCTTCTATTCTGCGAATATAGTCTGTCTTCTCAAGACAACCATCACAAATCTCGTCCCAATCGTTGAGAATCTTCTTGAGATCGCGCACCTTGAGCTTCTTCAAATCCACGGCTGACAAATCGATTTGTTTTTCTATATGTGATGCAACAAAAAATGGGCGGATTAGACAAGTTTGTCGGAAATTCAATTGAAGATTAGTTCAAATTCTCTTGCATATCATGATTATCGTTCTCGTGCCAGAATCAATAATCGAACAATTTCTTTTATGTAACTGTACCAGAACCATTTCTTCTTATATCATGAATGAAAGTGAATTTGGAAAATTCATATATAAAATGAGCAAATGCATACCGAAACGCAGATCACAAATTTGAGCGTCCAATCTCTTCAGTTTTTCACACACTCTGAGCGGTGGCACATGCGAACTCAATGGTTTTGACATCTCACCCAAAATTCCGGTTGCTGATATTTCCAAACCGCCCAAGTAGTAACACTGCAATCGAAGGATGATACATTAGTTCATTTTCACACATGGTTAAACACATTCCACACAGGCCAGATTCCGTGTACACTATGCTTAAAACTGTTCACTTACCAGTCTCTGTTGTTTTGATTTGGCAGTGGTACAGTATTGTTTGAATGCTTCCTCAATTTTCATTGGATTTGATCTGATGTCTTCTGTCAATGTTGCGTTGAATTCTCTAATTGTGGCTACGCAAACTGTGGATGGAAAAAGAGGAAACCAAAACGTGAATTATGATTAAAAAAAATTTCGAGCAAAATTGACAATTCATCGAGCGAACAAACGATCAACTTGAATCTTACCTTCGCAGTCTTCTTCTTTAAATGCTGCGCCGAAACAAATTAGCGACAGCAATGCCATCCCAAAAATGTATTGTTTCATCATATTTCTTTTTTTTTGTTAAATAATTTATGTGTGTTAACCTGTAACGTTGGATAACAAAAGAAAACCTCAATTAATATCAAATAATCTCCGTTGGGTAATTTGAATTGATTTTCATTGATAAATTTCTCCGTAGAACCAATTAATTGCAAACGGGACAAAGTTAGGTTACAGCCACTGTTGAAATTCGAATGATGTTTTACCAAAATGCACTTACTAATTTGAAAAAACGGTTGTCGTGTATGATGTGTCCAAATTTACACTGAAAATATTGATAACGAATCGAAATTGCAAAATGTTTAATAGATATTGATTGAATAGAATTGAAACGAAAGGAATTCGTTCAATGTTTCACACAGAATGGAACCGAACCGAACAGAAAAATGAACAAAAAAATATGAAGCAGAGAATTACTAGAGCTCAATAAATACGGTGTATAGCGGACAATGATGATGATGCTTATATTTGGTGCGTGTACAATGTAGTAGCGCGGTAGCCAGTTCTATTCAGTCTATATGTAGTATGAGTAAAATTGACATACACGTAATGCTTTTCTGGCTGAGCCAACGCGAAATGGTATGGTTTGCGTTGACAATTTAGAAAACAAAACCTGGACAATTCTGATTGGGCGACGCGATTTGATGTTTTATCTCGACGTTTCACAAATTGTATCGTGTGTGTATGTATGTGTGTACGTCGATTCACTTGTCAAAAAATCGCAGGCGAGAACGAAATCATGAAGAGTGTGTGTGTATGTGTTGTGCTGGTTGCGGTTGCGTTCCTCTGGCGGCTGTCAAATAAAGTCGAGTTCACATGGGCGATTTGTATTTGTTGGGTATCGTACGTTCTGGAAAATCTCACAAACACAAAAATTGAAAGAAAAAAAAAACTTTGGAATTTCGTAAAATCGGTAAATTTTAAAACATTTCGACGACGCATTTTTTTTCATTCGAAATTCGATGTCAAAAATTGGCATTTCCACAAAATATTTAACGAAAAATTGAGTGATGCCAATTCAAAAATAGTGCTGGGCCATTATATAACACTTGGGCTGTTGTGTGAAGTTGATTTCGCCGCCTGGCAAGAAACCGTGAGCTCACTGAGTGTGAGCGGTTGATGGTGATGGTATTGTCTCGCTCTCTCACGCGCGTCTCCATATACACAATGACAGACCTAACTACATTTGTACGGATACACAATGAGGCGACGGCCGATATGCAAGTGTATTGGTGCGTGTGAGCTGCTGCTTCTGCTGCTGCTGTTATAGCGCTGTAGCTGGCTACTATTGTTAATACATTTCATCTATTTGTTCTGCTTGCTGCTGTCATGCAGGTCAGTCATAATTCATATTTCGACGAGTCGTTTCGTAAGTGTAGTTAGTTAATCGTCACACACGCTCTGTCATTATTGTAAAACTTATTATGTCTCTCTAATTTCGTTTACTTGAATATTTAACCACAATAATAACAACAACAACAACAACAACAATAACAAAAGTAACAATAAACGAAATACAAAGAAAAAACTAAAGCAATCCGTCGGTATATATCTTACCTCCTCGCAAAAAAGAAGCAAAACGATAGAACGAAGCTGAAACAAAAATAATCCATCATTTTCCACGCAGCTACAATCATCAACTCGTTGCACCATCATATCCATTCTTGTGATTGAGAGAAAGGAAAGGAAAAACACACGCACGCGATTTTCATCGCGTTTCAACGACAATAAAAATATGTGCAAAGACAAAATCAAGTTAAATCATTTGAACTAAGCAGAAAATGACACAGTTGCAATCGAAAAGGATTTGTTGTGTTTTGATTTGATTGTGGTACTTGCGTGAGAGTGTACTTCATCTGCCGAACAACAAGAGGAAAACGAAGAAGAAGTGGACAGAGAACCGAGTAGAGAAAAAAAAGAAGAAGTGAGAACAAGAAACAAAGTGAATGCAAGAGATGAACACTTAAAAGATGAACAAATAAACAATGAATTTGAGCGCGCTCATTCTCGATTTGCTGAATGGGAAAATCCTTTGAAGATAGTCACAGAGCACGGGTTATGTGAATGAAATCGAATCGGTGGCATGTTGTGTGCGTGATTGAGCGAAGAAAAAACCGCGACGCGAAAACTAAACGTGTAACCTTTTTTTAAATAATTTTTGCGCGAGTAAAAAACCCGAAAAATAAACCAACAAATCAACAAACAGAATGCAAATCCTTTTGTTGTTTAGTGCAAATAAGAGGATAGCGTCATCATCGCCGAGGCTTTGAATTGCTTAGTTCCGTAGGAACCAAAAATATACACGTTCACACACACGAGAGAAAAAAACAACAAAATCCGGAAACGCTCTTCATCGAAAATAAGTACTGTAAAGTGTAATTATGCTGTCTGCCAGTTCATACGTGCGATTCAAACGTTGAATGTGTTTGACTTTAAGAAAAAATATACATAAATGTTCTCATCTTGCATCGAGTGAGTGTGTGTGTGTGTGTGTGTGTGAATTTTTATGAATTGAGTTTTATGTACCACATTTTCCGTGTAAATTAAGCCCATCGATATAGAAGACCCAAAACAAAAAATCCCAAGGACAAGCCAATGAGAAAATCTCTATGTCTCCAAATATAAACAACAACAACAACCGATCATTCCATGTTAAGAAGTGCGCCAATTGATATTATCGTAGAACAATCATAATTTTTAGGTGATAAAACGTCATTTTTTCTTTCCTGATAAAAGTGTGTGATTCAGCTACTCATCCTGATTCATCGAAACCACACACACACAAAAAAAGAAGCGGCAAAAGTCGTAATACACAAGTAACAAACAAAAAAAGAGAAGAAAACAAACAACAACAAAATCGTCTTTATTTCCTACACTTATTGTGCCACGGATTTTACATCATTAGTATTCCAGAGGCGGTTCAACTAATTGCATACATAAAACAACATTTATCAAATGTGAGTGTGCCATTTTTTTTCTTGTTTTTTCTTTCACTCTTCGAATAACAGACATTGCTGATGATATAGAACGGTTTGACCGATGTAAACATCACAAATTAAATTGTTTGATAAGTGACAAACTGAAACGATTGAACTGAAAAACATTCTAGCACACAGTATGCTAGAACAAGCAACCAACAAACAAATAGAGAGCGAAAAAAAGCAGTTGGTGGAAAATGACACAAAACAGAGATGCTTGATATCTCAATTGAAGAAAAATTGTGTATATCACGACGGTCGGAAAAGGTTCCAATTTGAACGACGAGCTGTAGTATCTTTACTGAAATCGGAAATGAGTAGCATTCATTATCGATAATCAGATATTGCTCGCAGGAATTGCTTGATAATAAAAAAAAGAGGCGACGTCGACGGCGACGACGGAAAAACGAAATGAACACAAGATTAAAGTGAATCGAAAAATAGGCACTGACATTTGTTAAGTGACAGTCAATGATACAATACGGCATTGCCAATTTCATGTTATATAGATTATATTGCTTATCTATTACAACGACGCACACCGACACATACACTTTCTCTCTATCTCATCTCATCTTAATTGGTATCTCGTTCTCACTTGTTCACATTCTGCCTTTGAATTTCGGAAATTTAGTTTGGTCACTCAGTCAATCTCGAATGAGTGAGAGATAATAGCGTAAGATGTAAACGAAAAAAGCCGAATTAGCCTCTATTTTGTTCTTCTTCTTCTTCTTCTTCTTCTTCTTCTTCTTCAACGATTTTTGTCGTTTACGAATTGATTACGGATAATGTGTGTGTGTATGTTTGTTATCGTTGAATGTGCCATCATCAGTTTTGAGAGCATGCCAATGACCACGGCTAATTAACGCCATACTTTGAATTCCTCATCATACAGAAATTGCTCTTTTTTCTTCTCAATTTGTGTGTGGTGTGCTTAGTCAACATCATCGAGGCAGCAGCGACTCAGTTTCGTATTTCATTCACAATTGTGTGCGTTCATCTATCGAGTGTTTGATGCGGTCGGTGAAATTGTGTGAGAAATAATCAAATGGTGTGTGAAAGAACCATGTGAGAAACAACGTTTATAATGTGTTGCTCCTTTGTCAGAGAGACTCTCACTCTCGCAGTCGCCATCCAGCAACAAAAGGCTACGCGAACAAAACGGGTGTACAAATTAGGGTGAAGACGAAAATGAACAACGAATAAGACAAATACATGCAATGCATTTTGGGTTAAATGCGTATATTTCGTGTAATTCATGTGTGTCTCTCTCTATATATCGATACGACCATTATTTTCCTTGAAAAAGAGTGATCCCGGTGTTTTCTCTCTGAAAATTTGTGTACGTACATGCATGTTTGTGGATATCGTTTTCATTTGTTTTATCGTATCCCATTCTCTTTCTCCCGTTCTTTCGGCGCTTGAATTGAATTTTCGATTGAAGATGATTAATGTTAATCATTGTCCAAGTCCCGTTCCCGTTCGAATTCGGCGAGCAAGAGTCAAAGCCGAGTGCGAGCTATTTGCTTGGAAACAACACATAAAGTCTATGAACAATGGTTGGAAATATGTCTGGCGACCTCACCCAATTTTATATCTTTGCACTACAGCACATGAGTGCTTATGAAACACATAAACGGCTCTCTCGTCACATATGAACACACATACACACCGAGTAAGACACAGTGAAGCGAGAGAAAGAAAGCAATGAAAAAAAAATGAAAAGTGGAAAATCATATGTGTAGAAATATATTACTGCTTGACTTGATCGTCCATATAAAATATTACGCGTGACAATCATTTTCTTTGCCACAATTGTTGATTAACATTTCATATTTCATTTAACTGTCAATTGGCACAAACATTTCGGTTCTCGTTTTTTTTTTCGGATAGTGTTTTTATGTGTCAAGCTGGAATGCAAGAGATGAAAATATGACTCATGACAAGGATCATATTGACCGCAAGAAAAAATGATGGTGTGTGTCTTGTTACAATTACTGCAATTCAAAAGCAACAGAAAACACATCATCGTTTTCTGGTTTGTTTGTATGATTGAACGGGAATGAGTTATGTGTTGAGACTTTTGACCTGAAAAACGCATTTAACACCAATTTACGACAGGGAGAGAGAGAGAGAGATGTCGAGAAAAAACAACATTTCTGTCACTCATAGTGGCATATCGTGTGCTGAGTCGCTCATTCATGGCTGTCCTTTCGACTGAATCGAAGATTATGTGTGTGATTCATCATATTCATATACATATATTGGATATAAATTCCTTTTTTGGTTGGAGTTTATCCACGCACACCGCTAGTTTCTATGCGATATTCACATATGCATGGGCACCTAAGTAGCAGTAGCACGCGATATTTGTGCTCTATCGCTGTACATTTTTCTCTCTGTGTGTGTGTCCCTCTCTTTCGATATTCTCTCTATTGCTCATGTGTACTGTTGGTTATAAATATGTATGGGGCGTTTACCATGTATACTATATCGCGCGACATACAAACATCTAGTGTTGTATATGCATTCACACGGAATGTGGTCAAACACCGTCATACGAGAATTTGCCCGAAATAAAAGAAGAAGAAGAAAACACACACACACAGAGAGAGAGAGAGAGAGAGAGAGAGAGAGAGTTTGGCATGAATAATGCAAGCTTCGGCGTGTATGTGTGTGTTTGATTCGCGCGCGCGTTCGCTCGATTTCATGTTATATGAACTTTGATTGGTCGTCATACGTTTTTCGCATTCATTTGATTTCGTTTCGATTCATTACGATGCGGACATGACGCAGACCAGAAAACCCGAACATCAACAACAATCAGCATACATTTCGAAATTTGTTTACGATCAATATAAGAGATTACTATGATTCGATATCGAACCAAACATTCATCCCACGTTCCAAATTGATGATCAATTAGCAACAATTCAATTTATTCAAATGCACGCATTCCATTCGAATCGATTCATCTATTCATAAAAAAAAAATCCAATTCATTCGCAATGAATCAGCGAAATATAATTCGAAACATCTTTTGTGCGCACCAAACATTTCACATAGCTCTACGCAAAGTGTCTATCTCTCGCTCGTTTTATCGTAGCATAGGAAAAGTGCTAATTAAACAAACAGAGCATTTTGTGTAAATATTTTGAGATGGGAAATCGTATTTGTAAATGTAAGCAAACACCATAGAACCAGAATAGAAAATGAAACGCATCGCATCGCATCACATTGGCGTCGGCCGTGTTCACAACACGAGAGACACGGTCTTATTTTATGCTCACAAGGTGAAGTTAAACTTTTTCGCCTACAATGTCAATGCTAAACGCATTACACGCAAATATTTGCACTTGAACTATATGCGAAGCGTGAGTAATATGCACATTTGTGTAATCATAAGGTGCGAAAAAGAAGTAGTAAACGTTTATATAAAGCATTAAAAAAACAACATGTTTTTTTCTTAGATTAAAACTCGAAGCAAATGGAATATTCATCGATTTTCTGGCATAATTCAAATATGAGCGAATTAATTGAATTTTATCAGGCATATCGGATGGCTGTATCGAACATTCGGGTCATGACATGTGGTTTATATCATACACACACGTATGAGCAACAGTAAACCCAATAGTCGTGACGTCGATTCAGTTTGTTTAGTGGTCAAACTCAATCAACGTGGTCCAAAAATAGCCTGCATTTGATTAATTTATATTCCAGATATTCGAATAGCCGACTCTCGATAGTTTAGCACGTTAGTTTGCCACCAAGCAAACTATAAATACTGCGCGTATTCATATGCCATCGACGATGATGATGATGCCGATGACGAACGTGCAAATAAATGGTTTTGCGCCAATTTGACCATATCAACAAAACATATGCCCGATTCATATTCGATGCATAGTCGAATAGAAATGGATGTGTACACATTCATTATTTACACTCTCATTTTTAACATACTCACCAAAATGTATATTGGCCAACCCATTCACCATTCGCAATTTGAAACGATTTGCGCACAGAGCGACAGTCTCGCTCTGTCTACCTATTTCTTTCTCTCTCTCTCTTGCTTACGCACCAATTTTCAAGAATATTTCGATCCATTGAATTCAAGCAAACATATAAATATTAGATGATGGAGTTTCAATGCGATGTGTATTCGGATTTCCATTAAACATACATAGAAAAAAGAGCGTGAGGAAAGGGGAGAGAGAGAGATTGAGATTTGGTGTGAATGTGCGAATAATCCATTGCTTATTTGATACGCTTACATTTTTTACCCGTACAATTCCGTGTCATTATTGCGCAATGTTCCACATTTGATATATATACTTCAACACATATGCGTTTGTATCTCATCGTTTAAACGAAGTAAATGGGAAACAATCATAAAACGTGATAATAGTATTCGTGCATACGCAAATTGTTGAATTGAATACGGTCCATCGCCACTGCTGCTGCTGCCATCGTCGTCGATGTCACTCAATTCGGAATCTCAATTGAATCAAAACATAGTCAACCAAATACGCTCGTCGACCTCTGAATCAATCAATTTATCGAAATTGATTAATTTTTTTTGGCATGGTTGAACAATTGATGCTGTCTCTGCCGCCGCCGTTGCTGCCGTTGTCGCCATGTGCGAATCAAAATGAACTTTTATAATCTAAACATTTTTCGCGCGTCAATTGTAATTGGCCCACAGCAGATTTAACCAAATCAATCAATTAATGCGGCATTGCTTGTCTAATCAAACAAATCATTTTTACATGCATATAAAAAAACAACAAATATAGACATGCAGACATTCCAAGCGCTCTTCATTGAGTGAAATCAAGATTTTCACGAATAAATAATAAATTGATGAGATAAAAAAAAAATGTTTGCTTCGTGCGCGTACTCTTCGACCATGTCAACTCTTGATTGAACGAGGGACGCGCCAGTGCTTCCTATAGGAAAAAAAACTAATCATTTCC